GGCAACGGCGTGCAGTTGTGTGTAAGTCTGGAACAACCAGCGCCATTGCTTAGAACGCGAGTCCGTGTTGAGAATGTAGCTGTACTCGAAGATTTCGGTAGCCCTGTTGAAGAGGGAGGTGCGCTTCTCCTCTGACAATTGTCCGCTGCCCGGACCAGGAAAGAGAACAGACTGGTAGATGATGAGTGTCATTTTGGCAACAATGAGTCGAGCAATGTTCGCTGCCGTCCAGTACATCGGGTTGTTCTCGCACTCAGGGCTCTTCAGGTACATGTCCTCCACCCGTTTGTGGATCTGGAGCAGCATTGCTTCACGCTCTTCCAAGGTACTTGCAGCGTCTCGACTATACACATTAGCCACCAATGGCAAAGAAGCCATATGTATCCGCCTCGCCACGGAACAAATCTCGTATCGAATGAGCGAGAATGACATATCCGCCGGACCCACCCTTGGTTTTGGGAGTTCGGTGCTTTCGGGGGAAATGTCGTCGTCGTTGATGTTCAGAGGAGCCTGTGTATCGAAAAACCCGTCCATGATGGTAAGATCGGTCCCTTGGTCCTCCGCAGACCGAAGGTCCAAAACGCACACCGCCCAGAAGCAGCGCCTGCGAATCTCAATCTCAAACGGCGAAAGATTCGGGAAATGAGTGCCGTCACGATGGAGACCGAGAGCTTGGCTGACGCGGATCAGCAGTCCGGTGAGGGTCCAGCAGAATCTAGTGTCATCATGCCGTCTCACGAGAACAAGGAAGAGGATGAATGCTTGAGCTATAGTCAGATCAGGGCTGGTGATGAAGTTGGACTTCGCCAGAGCCTGCTCCAGGGCGAAGCGGTATTGCTGTAGTAAGACGTCTTTCTCTGAGCCAAAGTTGAGTTTCACCTGGCGCATGTTAGGCACCGTACTCGAGACAAGGGTTTGATGGGGATGGTTACATACCTCTTCCTCGTCTAGCGAGGTAATCGCGGCATAGTAAATGGAGAACATCAATGCTTCTGTGGATGGAGTGAGGTTATCGAGGCTCGTGCGAACCTCTCGTATGAGCTTCGTTGTGGTAGGTACGTGAAGAATTTTGAGTATCGGGTCGACGTTTTCTTGGTATACCTGCCACATGAATGGTATTTGCGACGGCAGGGGATGGAGGGGGCGGAGATCTACATCAGCTGAACGGTATCCCATGATGAATGACTGGTGGTTCATCATGTTCTTTTCTTGGGCGGCCGACTCCGGGGTTGCTTCTAGATCGGAGTCATCGGAATCTTCTTCGGTGAGCTCATGCGTTTCTTGGCGGATCTCATCAAGCTGCCAAACATGTTAGTAACCCTGGTTATAACCCTGGAGGAGTAGCCCAATTACCTCGTCGTTAATTGAGGTCCAGAACGCGCTGCTGACGTATCGAGTGACGCCCTTCTCATTGAGGACAAGACGGCCGAACTGCTTCTGAACATCGGATGACTTCCGCACCAATCCAGAGCCGGAACCACTTGTCCTTCCAGGTGGTGCCGAAGCCGGAGATCCGTGACCGGGGCTGCTGCCGCTCACACTGGCGGCGCTGTCGTGCCGTCGTCCAGTGACGTCTTCTATGCCTTTCCTTGGTACTGACTCGGGCGAGTTGCCCACGCTGGCGCTGGACGTCTGGCGTGGCGTCTCGATTTCTATTTGGCCGCTGAGTTCCTCCACAATCCCTTCCAACTTCCGCAGACGCTTCATCAGTTCTAATTCTCGCTCGCTTGACGGTTGCTTTGACGGCGCGTTTGGGTCCTTGGGCCTCGGCCGGCGTGGCGCCCTGCCAGGAGCAGGGAATATGCAAGGGATCTGGGCTCTCCGGCAGTTGGAGCAAGGCATGAGTTTGTCGCATCGTACCTGGCGCAGAGTCAGCAAATTCCCCATTGATGGTTGCGACAGCAGTCCCAGTAAGCACATACCTTCCTCCTCCGGCAAGTGACGCAACTACGAGGGTTCATGGCGCTGGAAACGGCGGCGTTGGGGGGGTAAACAGAGGCGCCCGGTGGCGGGTGTCGCGCCATAGCTTGGATTTGCTGTGGGTCGAAGCCATCTTGGCTGGTCGATACTGAGAGCGCATCGTTGTTAGATGTCTCGGATGTCGGCGCCCGTGGGCTCCAAGTCGAATCGCCCCCGGCCATGGCAGCGGATACGGTATTCCAATGTCGAGCAGGTGGCGCGGCGCAGCACGATCGAGCGGCGGCGGGGTCAGTCAGCGAACGAATTGGTAACGGGCCATGTAATACGGCTTGTGCGATGCGGCCAGCGTCTTCGGGACTGTCAAAGAATCTCGGTGTCACTCGGGAGGCAGACAGAGAGCCCGGCGAGTGTAGGTGAGCATTGCTGGGGAGTACTGATTGAGGCGGCACAGGAGTGTGTTTGTTGGAAATCCGACCAAAGATCCCAGGCGGGACCTGACTGTTGGAGCAGGAGAGAGTGGGGTCGACTGGCACTCGGTGGTCCATGCGCCATGACGGAAATCCCTGCGGCTGCCCAGAGGCTTCAAAGGCTTGGCTCCTTTGCTGGGCGATCCCGCCCCTTCCCGCAGCTTCCGATTGCCCGGTCACCACGGGCTTTTCCGTGCCCGACACCGACATTGGTGCTTCTATCCCAATAAAGACTCAAGGAGATGTCACAGTTCGCATGGCGCGGATGATGCGCCTGCCGCTCGGTATGGTCGACTCCTGCAGGTTTGTTGGGTTGCTGAGTCGAAGTTCGGAGGTCCACCAAGTTCGCCGTGAGTCCTGAGTTTAAGTGCGGATCCCCTCCCAACTCCCTCCACCACCGAGGGGGGCGTTTCAGCCTTGCCGCTCCTCTCGTCCCGCCGTCCTTTGCCTCCACTAGTGATTGATGACTATCCGACGTTTGTAGCTGCCTCGAGATTCCATGCACGCAGCGGCCGTAGAGTGCTGGCGCGGCTCAGCTCATCGGTGTCAAATGCCCCGCCCCTTCCGGTGCCGAGATCGGCCGTTTTACATCGATCGAAGGTAAACGGCCACGAAGGCTTCGGCAGGGCTCCCGAGCCTTGAGCTCCGGATAGGCACATGAAGTTTCGGCCTGCTGGCGATGCAATACTCAAAAAGTGATCACCCAATAACCGACAGGCAGCGTGTTCCTTCATCTCATGCTGCGTGATGGGTTGCTGGATGGCGGAAACCGAGGGGATTTCGAGTTCCTAAGCCCCTTCGGTGTGTCATTGGCCAGGTTCAGCCCTGCATCATCAATTCAATGGTTGATGCAGGTCAATGCCCTGGCACGCAGAAACCGAAACAGTCAATCAATGGAAAGGACAAGTCAAAATCCACCCCAGTCAACCCCCAAATACGCCCATCTCGCCGTACAGTGGAACAGCCAGGCCTTTAATATGTGACGGGAAGAGTTAATGTCAAATCAACGTTCTTGAACCCCTTACTCAGGTTCAGAGGCACGCCTCACGTCGAAGCAATCCAAAAACATATAACTTGCCTTACATGGTCACTTGCTGACGACATACCTATTAGATGTCCCGGCAAAGCTGAGTTCCGAACAGTGTATTACATGTTATTGTTCTTTGAAGCTGCTCCAAGACACCAACACACTCGAATCCCTTTTGGTTTCTTCAAAACAGCATTATTGCGAGTGCAGTGGTCGTGTACGTTTTCTAGGAAGGATGTTATTGTCTGCACAACAATTCCATTGTCAACCTGGAAGCGTCGAGTCAAAAAGCGCATCACGGCGGAATACAGTTGAGTTGATGTGGGTACCAAGGGTTGACTCCACCACGCTGTCGAGCTTACCAGAACCCGACTCTACATCAAGTCTTGAATGTTGGGATAGTCCTTGATCAGGTTTACGATGGGTAAAAACAATGTCTGTTGTCTACTGCCCCCTTCAGCAGATTGTCTGTCGAATAGTTCCTTAATCTCGTCCCAAGTTTTCCACGACCACCCTTCACACTTCTCAGGTTCCAATGTCTGCGTGCACAGTCAGTATTCAGATTTGTCCGTATGTCCATAGAATCTCATACCATTGGTTCCTGGTTCTCACTAGCACCGCATCTCTGGCACACGACGAATAAAGTGATGTAGTGCTTGTTGTTTTCCTGGAATATATCGTTGGTCACGGCGACAATCTTCTCTGCGCGGACTTGAAGGCCTGTCTCCTCGAGCGTCTCCCGCTCTGCACACTGAAGCGGTGTCTCGCCGAACTCGAGATGGCCTCCAGGAAATTGCCAGTGTCCTGCGTCAAAGTCAGCTCCCCCTTCCCAGTGGGCGGTAATCGGCATGCGGAGAGAAAAGAGGCTCACCGATGCCATGGGAATTCCCCTTGCGGACACCAACCACCATTCGCCCCGATGCATCCTTCACAACCGCCGCAACCCCAACCCTCACTACAGGAGTCGCCATTTTGTCGGACGTGAACAGTAATCTGTCGACAGTGCCTATAGCGACACCTCTATTCCATTTACTTGACGTTGCGCGGGTTTCCTAGGTCGTTTCAGAATCTCATGACTCACCGGACAAGTCCCGGCAATCCCGCGCCCAGCCGGCAACGGGTGGGAAACCAAGCACCCCGCATAGGCGCGGCCCACGGCACCGCCTTTCCTCCGATCCGGCACCACCCTCCCTCTCCGATACCGCCCAGTGCCGGAAATCTGTGTCTCGATGCCAAGTGAGCACACACACAGAATGCTGTGGCACAAAAAGCCCATCTGCACCGCTGGACGCACTGCACACCACAACTCCAATTCTGCCAGCCCGACAGCTGTAACTCCACCGTCTCCACAAGCCGAGCTGCCCAGCAAACCAAAAGATCGGATGAAAACGTGGGACGGAGACCACCTACCCCGGCGCACCACGCAGCACACCAGCACGCAGCACCAGGGTAACCCAGAAGTTAAAAAAAAAGTTTTCCTTACTTCCAAGACCTGTCCCACAGAATCAGGGCAGGGCGCAGGGCACAGGAGTGGCTTAAAAGGCAGGAATACCGACCTTCACATGCATCCCCCTTGGAAACACATTGCCCGGCTGGCGCAATTGGTAGCGCGTAAGACTTCTACGCCAAAAACTCGAGAAAAAGAGAATTGGTGAAGTTTCATCTTAAGGTCGTGGGTTCGAGCCCCACGTCGGGTGTTTCTTTTTGTTTTTTGCCAAATCGTTGTTAGTCGGCCTTGTGTTATTGCTCTTGTTGCGTCTGTGGGCACGGCGGTCACGCTGCAGCAATGAGTCAAATGTGCCCAGCCCCTGACCATGTTCCATGACATCGCGGCTGCTGCTGGCGCATCACGATGGGCGGTTCCACGGAGAAAAACAATGATGCTCTTTATTGACAAAACCACCTAGACATATGAAATGGGGTATCAATCCCTTCCTGATCCTAGCCCTGACCCTGATCCGCGATACTGATCCAAGAGGTATACTACCCAATGCCTTCACCGTCTACTGGCCAGTGGCTCGGCCTCAGGGTGAATCTATGTATGTGATGCTGCCGTGTAATCCCCGGCCGTTACGTGACTTTAGTGTTCATCGGGTCGTGGTTCGCAATGTGCGCCGTCGTTAGTCGTCATGTACAGTCCCCTCCCTCCCCTTCGACGATGGGCATGTGTTCCGTTGGGGTCATTAGACATGACATCATCTCAGGCCGCCAACGCCTTTTTCCACCACGAACTTGACCGGTTTCTTGACTCGGCGGTTGGTCGCGCCCCTAGGCGGAATGACTGGTCGCATTACCGGCCCTGGGCCCAAAACTTTGAAGTTGCCAGCCACCCTGGGATTGACTGCGATGCCTCCGCCAACTCCGCCCGGGCCCATCTTACCGCCCTGGGCTATGGCAACCCGGGCACCGGGTATCTTCCAGCCTTCAATCTTCCCCCCTTTTCCGCGCTCGTCAAACCCCCACCGCTCAACCCCCCCGCCAATAAGCCAGCCACCCAGGTTCTTGCACTGGCTGACATCCACCCATTCGAGGCGTCCGCAACCTTCCAGCACGTTCTCGACTCCGTTTCCGGTGACGCGTACGCAGCCTCGAACGCTGAGACCGCGCAGTTCGTTCAGATGAAGAGCGATGCACCCCAGGCTGGCGTCGCTGACCGCGCTGCCGCAAAAGGCAAGCCTGAGCTCGCGGAGGAGGGGCAAGCCGAGAGCAACGACCTCGGTTGCTGTGTCAGAAAGCGCACAGCAGAAGCTGAGATCTAGATGCGTCAGATTCTTCGCGGCGTTAACAAGCGCGATAATGCTATTGTCGGAAAGATAGGTGCAGTCCGCCAAGCAGAGATGGGTCAGCTCGTTGAAGCGGTACGGCGCCCACGCCTGAAAGCCGGCATCTGTGATGGATGTGCAACGCGTGAGCGTCAAAGACTGCAGCCGATTGGCCGCGTGGGCCGCGAGGTGCGCCATGGAGCGGTCCGTAATATGCTTGCAGTATGATAGGTTGAGACGACGGAGACGGGGACATCCGATGACAGTGCCTGGCGGAGGAGGCGCTGGCGCCGCTGATTGAATGGTATTGTTTTTCTCCATCCTTTGTTGCTGCTGAGACGCCCTCCTACTCCTAGCGGCAGAGCTGGAGATGATGACATTATTGTTTTCCCGAGGTGGTGGCGGTTCCGGGACGACCCAACCAACGACCCTGGCGAGCAGATTGTCGCCCACCTTGCGGCAGTTGCTCCAGTCCACCTCTTCCAGGCCTTTTGCGTTCTCGCTCATTTCCAGAATCTGCCCAGCGGAAACGTCCCAGACACTCTTCATCTTCCAAACTTTTACATTCTTGCCGCACATTCGCCACAAAGCCTGGAAGCCCTCGTCTGTGATGTGGAAGCAGTTGCTGAGATCCACCTCGACTGGTCGCAAGCCGATGAAGGGAGCGATGATGTTGGCGAGCGACCAGTCATTCACCTTGCGATTGAGCGGCCCGAGATCAACATGCGTGCAAAGCCGAGGGCTGTCGGTCAGTATCTGCCGCCACTTCCTGCTCACCGCTCTCAGGCGAATCAGCTCCAGGAGGTCCATCTGTTTGAAGATGGCGACAAGAGCGTCATCGGAAAGAACCGTCCCGCCAATTTCGGCGGCTGCTGCAGAGCTCCTTGGGATAGTTCGCGCCCGTTTGGCGGGCAATGGGGAGTCATCGCGAGAGGCGGGCGACACGGACGGAGACGGAGATGGGGAGAAGAGCTTGAGAGAGTTATCGGCTGCGCTTGGCTTCGTAGGGCTTACGATCGTCGAGGAGTCCGTTTGTGGGGTGGGTGGCGCAAGAGAGTTGCGGCGGCGGTTACGAAGGTTTTCCATATCTACGCTCAGATACGGATCTGGGTCCGACGGTTGCCGCGTCTCGGCATCGGCTTTGGTGGGCGAGGGCGGTTTCGAGGGCGTGGTAAACGTGACTTGGGGAAGCTTCGCCTGGTTCGGTGGCGTCGATGACCGCTCATCGTCAGAGAGTGCCCGGCTTTCAACGTCCTCCATTTCGACATCGTCGTCGGAGCGCTGATATCGTTGCTTCGCCGTTTCCTCGACCTGCGATTTTATTTCGGGCGGACAGCGCTTCCAGAGCTCGTCCAGTGCATCGCCGCCAACCATCAAGCACTCTACCGCCGTGATGGACCGTACGGTAGCCGTCCTCCCTTCCGAAAGGCCCAAGCTTGAGACCTCCCCAAAGTATTGCCCTTGCTTCAGCCTCGGCCGCATATATGATGCTTTGGCGGCGCGCCGAGGATTCGGGGGGCTGGGTGCTTCGTGTATTACTTCGGCTTCTCCCCGGACGATGAAGAAGATCTCGTTGCCAGGACTGCCTTGGCGGATGATATCGGTAAAGGGTGAATAGGTTTTGGGCTGAGCGCTGAGACCGATGAAATGCAGGATATCAGGAGGGAGCGTCGAGAAGAGCGGGAGCTCCTTGAGGGTCTTCCGAATGTTGACGTACCCACTGCCCAGCGCACTCCCACTGATGGCTGGATCTTCGATCACGCCAGGGCTTGGTGACTTCCTTTTCTTAGTGTTCACTGCACCGCCCTCCTTGATGACTCCAACCTCCCCAGTGCTAACTTCGCCGGGGGCCGCTTCCCGCGCAAGCTTCGGGCCGTCGTTGTCGGGGAGCTTGCCGACCTGGCCGCTCCCGCTCTCTTGGCGCTTCTTTTTGAGAATTGTTAATCGTTCTTGGGCCTCCTGCCGAATGGCCTTCTCCATGTCGGGGTACTTGGGGAGTTCTGCCTGCAGGTCCTCCTTCTTGAGAACGACGAGCAGGCATTTCGTCCTCGCCACGATGGTTGCGGTTCTTGGCACATCCATGAGGACGCCGATTTCTCCAAAGAAGGCGCCCGGCTTGAGCTCGGCGTAGACGGCCTCGCCATCTCTCGACGTGACGGCGACGACGCCGCGGACCAGCCAATACATTGCTTTTGCTTCGTCGCCCTCGGTGAGGATGTGGTCGTGTGCCGAGTGGATCTGGGGTCTTAAATGGGCGCCGATGGCGACCAGGAAATCTTCCGGGGCAGACATGAAGAGGGGAAAGGACCGGATGCGATCGACCAGGTCGAGCGGCATATCTGGAATGGTCGAAGCCGTCAGCGGGGAGGGGCGCATGGGCCGCGTCGGGTTCGCTTCGACATTGAACGACCTGATCAGAGACGACACAGAGCCCTGAACCTGTTGCTGGCCCGTCTGGGCTCCCGCACCATGGTGCGCATGGTGGTGCGCCAGGGCCCGGAAGGCCGGCGGGGACGGAGTGCGGTTCCGCCGCATCGTGTGCGCGCTGGGCAGGGGCGGGAGAAGCCCCCCCGGACACCAGATGGCTGATGTGCCTGACGAGCTATTTGGAAACTTCCGAAATCCCAATCTAGTTCGACACGTTTATTACCTCTGGGGAATGACGTCTCTCGTCCCGCAGTCCCGTATATTGCGGAGGGGCCGGTTAGATCGAAATTAGGCGGGGATGCTTCATGCTATAGCCAGTCGAACCACGGCTTCCCCACACGATTCAGAACCACGGCAAGCTTCTTGGGGAGCCGCCTTTCGCTTCTCTCGTCCTTCTCCCGCTCCGCACACTTGGCTTCTGTGGGGAATAGCAGATCTTCGGATCAGGGGGAATTGGAGAAGGATGCCTCCGTCGTCACGGTCGGGAAGAGGCAGTCAGTCGTTTGTGGGCGTGGTGGCTCGATCCCGAGAAGGCGTCGATTCGTCGGTTGGCGCAGATCGGGGCTATGCGCCCGGCTTTTTTGTGTTTGGTGTTTCTCGGCGAGCAGTCAAACAGAACGCTCGCGCATTGTAGGACGTGGAGGACGTGGAGGGTCGATTGGCCTGGTTTGACCGCGGTTGCCGTCGCGTTCGAGGTAGATGGAGGCTCTGGGAGGAAGAAACCTTGGTCAGCATCAATGCCTCGTCTCTGCCCTCGGTCGGCCAGACGGAATCGCTTACATGGTGTGGTGGGCTTGAAACGCGCACGTCGGCGTCACGAGAACGCTGCTGGGAGGACGGATTTGGAGATCCCAAGGTGTGGGGTAATGATGGTACAATAGGAGCTCGGCAAGGAAAAGTTCGTGGGAGAGAGATCAGCCAGCGAGTCGGATCGCAGATTTGGCTGAAGAGGAGTTGTGTGTCTGGACCTGGAGGCACAAGACAGGTGACGGGAGCGGGAAACCGGCCGGCGTGGGGACCTGGGAAGCTGAGGGCGCAGGACGGCGCGGTCTCGAATGTCTGGAGAACGTGGGTCCCCGTCTCAACAATGCCCACCTTCAACAAAATTCCAGATCCGAGCCTCAGTGCGACCGCAAGCCACCGACAACGCCAGTTCCAAGTTCGACAGGCGGAGGAGGAAGCAGTGGTAAGCCGTGGGCATGGTGGGAAATTCAGGAACGGAGCGCAGCAAGACACCGGAGGAGTGCGGAATGGCGCGACTGCTGCCGGCTTCCCACGCGGCAGGTGGAATTGGTCGCGCAGTGGAACACGACAGAGCAAGCCACGGAGCAACATGCAGCTCCGCACCTTTTCCTGGCCTGCCTTTCCTGTCAGCCCTCTGAGGGTACAAGGCGGTGTTTTATGTGTGTGTGAAGATGCGCTCGTGCTCGACGCGGAGGAGACCAGACAGGGCGAGAAATGCAGCCAGATGAATCGAGAAGGAGCTCGGGTGTTGAAGCCACGCTAGA